TTTCTTCCTTCTGATAAAAGTGCTGACTTACCACTGTTATTGTAACAAAAATTCCGATCATCCAAACACCTTCCTAGATTCTGTTGTCATGTTGACATAGGAGTGGGTTCAACTTGATACCAGCTGGATAACCTGGCCACAGATCCAACTGACATCCAGTGTCAAGGACACAAAGAGCATTTTAGAGTACTACATACTCCATGGCCTGCAAACAGCTCCATCAACTACCGGGCTAAAAGAGACAGTCCCAGGAGAACCAGGTGTTTATCAGCTACTCAAACTGCAGGAGTGACCAACATCTGTCAAGTGATTCCAGACTTCACTCTAAAAGTGTCCAGCTACCAGAGTTCCTTCAGTTATTCAGGAAGAACCCAGGGCCCCCATCCACGCACGGGCATCCTACTTACACACTCCAGCAGATAGAGAGCTTCCTCGGGCAGCAGGCACTGTTTGCCATGCTCTGTGAACCCCATGGTGTGCCAGAACTTCCCCTGGAACAAAAGCACAAATCTGTGATGGGCTGTGGACATTCTTTGCTGACAGCCAGGCTCTCTCCCATTTAAGAAGCAGATGAAGGAGTCTGCAATCGCCAGCTGGAGATGAAGGTATTGAGGACATTCTGCAGCAGACTCACCGCAGGGGACTGCAGCTCCACGATACCCTGTCCTGGCTTCCACTCAGCTTTCACCAGATTGCCCCTGAGAAGGTTAAAGATTAGCTTGTTATTACCAGCAGATGTAACACAACCATCTCCTGTGGTAGCAACGCAACAAGTGCAGGAAGGTGTCGAAAGGCAGCAGACTTCCAGCTGGCACTTTTACAGAGCAAGGCCTCAGAAAGACCTCATCCTCTGGATTTAGCAGTATTCATTAAGGATTTTATCACCAACTGGTTAACAGTGTCTTAAAACTAGCACCACAAATGTCTGCCCACAGACACAGAGGCCTGCTGGAGACGTGGGGCCCCAACTGATCCATAGTATATCATACAAGATTGTTCAGATGCTGCCAGGACAGAGTCTCAAATTGCTGTATCCCACCCACAAAGCAAAGTGCACGGCCTTGTAGGGAGAATTTACTAGCAGAGAGGAAACACAGGGTGACTTTGAAGACGTACATTTTTGGTGGCTGGATCAAGGAAGCAGGAGATGAGACCTGTGGGGCCTGCCATGGGTTTGCTCTGAATCCTTGGTCAGTACCACAATTTCCAGCACAGCCGCAAACGTGCAGTTACACACGTACTTAAACAAATCTGCTTCTGACCACAGCGGAAGGAAGGTAACAGTGCACCCCGTCTGTCCTGCCTGTCTGCTGGAGGTCCCCTTTCTCAAAGCAACATCCTAAAGGTCCCTGCAGTGTGAGTTTGCCTGAATGCTTTTTAGCAACTACTGACTGGTGTGGATGGAGAAACTAGTTACCAGAAAAAAAGCAGGCCAAAGAGAGGAAAAGCGTGTGCTGAGAGCGTGTGAAAGTCTCCCAGGAACTGATAACTGAACTTCAGAGACTGGTAGTGCTGTGGGATCTACCAGAGCTGATAAACCCGGGACACCGGGAGTCAACCAAATCCGTACAAGGCCACAGACACACACGAGCATCAACAAGGGGCTGTACAACTTGAACTGCATCTGCGGGCAGCAGCTGCCACATGCAGACCTGGACTGAAGGACTACGTACGCGCCTGAGAAAACTAGGGACCCTTGGAGGAGCTTTCTGAACGCCTCCCTGGAAGCCACTGGCGTACCAGCGTAACCCTCTGCCCGGAGGGCACAGCCGGGGCGGCTGCTGCTCCGGCTAGGGAGCTACGAGCGAGGGCGTGAGGGAGTTCCCTGCGTTCACAGTTATCAGCTCCGTCCGCGTGAACGAAACCAGCTCCGTTAATAACGGGGCGATCCACGCCCAACGGCAAAGCAGCCGGG